GGAAGCACTCCCACTCAGAATTGTGGTCATTAATAGGGGTAGCGTGATGCGTAAAACATCATATGTCAATAATTAAAGCAAATCTCCTAGACATGTCAGTTTTTAATAAGGAATTCTTACTAATTCGTTCCGTCAGTCATTGAGCAGAGGAAAGGTGGAAATTTGTATGTTATTTTTGTGTAGATTAGATGCAAACTAGCATCTCTGAAAGTGGGGCTACACGGGCTCTATAAGCAGCATTGGATCAATGCTCGCAAGCTTTGAAAAGTTAAGGGGTCTATACTTATTTTCATTAGTTTAGTGATGAACTGCACATACTTTACGCCACTGGTAAATTGTACGAACAAACACGAGGCTTAGCTATGGAATCGTAATTACACCAACTTTAGGAAATAGCTATATGACTCAATTAGAGAGTCACCAAATACAAGCAGCATTTTTAGTCGCTAACTTATGGGTTAGGTACATGGATGACCACTTAGCAACACAGTAGAGAAAGCCTAGAAGACTTCCTAACCCGAATGAATAAAATCGACGGACAGACCAAGTTCATCATAAAATTAGAAAAGAATGATAGTCTGCCTTTCCTAGATGCCCTAGTTAGCAAAGAGGGAAACAAAGAGGGTAGGAATGTGTATAGGAAACCCATAAATAAGGGGTTCCTTTTTAAATTTCTTTTCAGACCCTACTTATGGGAAGACCCGAGTCTAAGAAATTATGCCACAGGGGCATTTGTGTTAACCTTACATACTAGATAAATGCATGACCTTACAGACCAGCATGCAGACAGGACAAGGGACTACAGATAACCAATCAAATAACGATATTTTCAATGTGAGTAGCTTTCGAGGCAGTTAGCAATTCTGAAATAAGTTGATTAAAGGACTCAATTGAGTTTACCCACAATCAGATGAGTCGATTCACATTCGATTAAGCGGTCAGGGAGCCGAGGATAATTAAATTCACGACCATCAAATGTGTGTAAGTCTGCGCCCAAGGTCAATCGCCAGCAGCAGCCAAGGCAACTGGTCTATGAACCCCTTCTTCAACACTACTCACAAGTCAACTTATCATGATTCCCAGGCTGAAGTGACTCCAAGCTACATTATGTTGTAGAGACTCAATCGCGTTCGACCGCTCGCAATGTATTTTTCCTCCTCGAGCAGTCACCTCACCCCTTTTTGATGACCAATCAGTACAGGCAACAAGGGAGCTTCAAACCTGTCACCAGATCCCTCCTAAACGCAGCAATGCAGTGTTCAAGTTTGACCTGTACACCACCTATGACTGGCTAGCCTTAGTCGTATATGTAGCTACCTGACACAAATCAAGATCATGCATTCAACCTTAACAAGGAGCCCAATTTTGTGTCAGATAAAGCTTTATGGGAAAGACTTTCGGGCTAGAAACTAATTACGTTGGGCAAAGGTCTCCGTGCCACATCTCTACACCACCGTTAAAACTTAGCGACCCTCAGATCTCAACGTTATCGCAATAGCTAGTCACCTCAACCACTTTGGCAATAGAATATCCAGACACTACTCTCCAAGGGCCGGGATGCTTCCAGCTCCGCAGAGTTTGAATAAAAAAGGCTTCAGGACCCCTTCTATCAAGGGCACACCGCCCCAGCAACCCACTCAGTTGTCTGGTCTTCTTCCGTCAGTTCTCACAGATACTCTACCTAACCGGCTATTAACAAGGCCGTCTCATAATCGCCTCGCTGAGATGTGATCTTAGCAGCACATAGAGGAGAAAGGTCGTAAAAATCGAGAAACTGGATTCAGAACAAACATTTGACTAAAATAACGATTACGTCCTGTGACACATCTCTATCGTGCCATCTCACTCTCACGAGTTCGGAATTCCTCGAATAAGGATAAAAGTTTCGCTAGTGGCGGCATATACCATGCGTAGGCACACGAACATACATTCGCAAGCAGGTTGAAACTTAATTATGAAATGGAGTTTCCCCACATCGCTAAGGCCTGATGGTTGGATTTCTCACAATTAAATGAGTTTGCCGCAAGCTGCCATTGCATCTCGCATGGCCATGCCATCCAAAGAGTCTCCTCATCAGGAGTCGACTGTGGCTTCGACCTCGTCCAGGACCGATTATCTGTACCATCAAGGGAATGATAAAGTGGGTTATGCGGCAAAACTTCACCAGTCCATAAGAGACATACGAATTCAGCTGGGTGACCTATCAGATATGATTTTCAAGGCAAACCAGGCCTCTGCAGTCACATTTCTAGTGGGATTGTCAATGAATCCTAGGCCAGATCGAAAGTACATTCCAGCCCGAATGGGAAAACCGTTTTGGAGGTAGGGCCAAAATAAAATTCACTAGCATAGTGAGGTCTACCAACTTCATTGTGGCTAACTTCAACTATTGGTCCTTACCTTATCTTAGGCGATCTAGGGTGACTCTATTTTTGATTCCGGACCTAGTGTTCGTTTCAAAGAGCAAGTGCCTAATTGGATTTGGAAAAGAACCGTCTTTTTTATTCTATCCATCGCACACGTTATATTATATGCCCACGACCAGGAATGTGACTAAACGCTCGGGTATGAAGGACACGATAGACGAGATCAAAGAATACCGGCTAGTCAATGAGATAGGACAGAGATTTTTAAGTGTGGGGATGGTCAACTGGTAGGAGTTGGGTGGAGATGATTATCGAGTGAAGGTGGCGATTGGGATCAGGACGCCTAGCGAACAAAGATGCTAGGTGAAGATGTGAAAATTGGTTGAAGGAAGTGTGATTGGGAGGTTAGGATACAGCACCAAGGTCAGGAAGGAGAGGGGAGAAACCGAACGCATCGGACGGAAACGGGGTGAAAGGACTGTCCTCCCATTAGCAATGCCGGCAAAACGTCTGGGGGTGTAGCCAATAATAAGTCATGACAACACTAGCAGTGTAGTCACCCTGCCAACAAGACTACACAACGAAAAGAGACTTCAACCAAGTCCAAGGCTATACTATGTCGGTCTTCATATCCGTCAATTAAATATTCAATTATTTATACTACTTCTGTGAGTATAGAGATCATGTGTGGAATAGCTGTTTAGTCCTCTTGACTTTGTAGGGACTTCCCCTCTCCGAGCTTGCCTAAGGACTGGTAGTTGAGTTTCCCACGAGAAAATGGCTAGGCTCCAAGAAACTTTTGAATTCTATTTAGACCTGGGTACAAGGGCTCTGTTAATTCAGGCTAGACTGCAACGGCATTGGTTTCACAATTGGCTCATCAACTTAATCACACGTAGGATGACGCCTTTTCTTGCGACACGAACCCTGATGACCTTTCTGTTGCAATTGCTCAGAGTAATGATTGTATAGTCTGAACTATACACGGACGCCAGTCACACGTACTCAAACATACAAGCACCTAAAACAAAACCTATAGTCACCATAGGTCGTGTAAGGTGATGAAGGACAGTTTCGACCCCGCCTGGGTCTCACAAACGCCTCTAAAGGGCGTCGCGCACAGTTTATGTTCCACATGTCACCGGTACTAAGCTTGCTACCGATGCCATTGGGTCATAGGGAAGACGAGATTTGAGGGCGAACCAATAAGAGTATACATGCCATTAAAGTCGGCAGCATTACTTGCCTCTGCAAGAGGTAGTTTTGTTAAATAGCCAGTGAATCTTGAATGAGAACAGTGGACCAATCTCATGCAGATCTTCCGTGCAATTTCATATGTAATGAAGTATCTCAAACAGGACTACCCTAGGAGACTCATTGAAAACCACTCTTCGTATATCTAAACATACATACATACATACATACATACATACATACATACATACATACATACATACATACATACATAC